AGCCGTCGCCGCCACCACCGCCACCAAGGGCGTGAACCTGCGGGACAAGCTGGAGGGCAACGAGCTGGACCTGAGCCTCAGCGACCTGAGCGAGGTGCCCGTCAAGGAGCTGGTCAGTGCCCCCCCCCCAGCAGCGAAGGGGTTAATGAGGTCCTCCCCACGGGCGGCGAAGGTGTTTATGAGGCCCCCCCACAGGCAGCAAAGGGTTAATCCCCCCACGGGGCAGTGAGGGGGTTAATGAAACGTGGCGCCTCTTCTTCCTCCTCCTCCCAGGCCGCCCTGCCGAAGGCCACGGTGCTGGACCTGTCCTGCAACAACCTGGCTGCGCTGCCGGTAAGGGGGGCAGCCCGCGGGGAGGGCAGGGCTGTGCTCCCTTGCCCTGGGGGGCAGGCGGTGCCCGCAGCGGTGAGGACAGGTCGTTGTCCTGGGGGGGCAGGCGGGTTCCCTGGGAGGGCCCTGGCCCCTTCGTGCTGCAGGATCCCGGCCCAGCCCGGCCCGGCTTGCTGGTGCCTGCCAAGTCTCCGCTTCGTTGCTGCGTCTGTCGTAGTTGGCGGGGGGGATCGCAGCTGCTGACCAGTTAGGAAAGCGAGCCCCATCGCGGTCTTCTCCGGCCTGTCCTCTGCCCCCTGCAGGGTGCGACAAAATGCCCCTGCCTTTCTCGGCCGCTCTTTAGTAGAGTCGATAACAGGGCGGGCGGTTTTGCTCCCGTGTGGGTTTGCAGTCGGACTTCTGCAGTTTGACCCACCTGGTGAAGCTGGACCTGAGCAAAAACCAGCTGCAGCAGCTGCCCTCGGACTTCGGCCGCCTGGTGAATTTGCAGCACTTGGACCTCCTGAACAACCGGCTGGTCACCCTGCCTGTCAGCTTTGCGCAGCTCAAGGTAAAGCCCCTCTGGCAGGCAGCTACCTAGGCCCTTAGGCTGCAGCTGGAGCTTATTTTTTTTTCTTTCCTTGAAGCTGATTTATCTAGTAAAAACATTTGCTTTCTTGCCAGGACAGACCACTGTGGGACTCTGAGCAGCTGGGGACCTGCGCCCCTGCCTGTAGAAACTGCTGTGCTTCTATTAAAAGTCAAACCCCTGCTGGTTTCCTCTCTCTTTTGTCCACGTGGACACTCACTAGCTGTTGCTTCCTGCTTCGATTCACTTGAATAAACAGCCCTGTTTGCATTTGCTTTTGATCGCTGGCCTCATAGGGGCCTGCAGTAGCTTGATCCGTTCATCTTTTCCCTCCTGTAGAATTTGAAGTGGCTGGACCTGAAGGACAACCCCTTGGATCCCACCCTGGCCAAGGTGGCAGGAGACTGCCTGGATGAGAAACAGTGTAAACAGGCGGCCGTCAGGGTAAGGAACCAGTTCTGGGCTTTATTTGGTCTTCTTCCTTGGATTTTATAGCTGTTGTTTCTCCTTTTCTGGCTTAGAGGGCATCAGTGTGGCAGTTCGATGGCTCTTGGTCTGGAGAGGGAATGAGGAGCCGATCCTTTCAAAGTCAATGTTAGCTTTGCAAGACCTCAGTACTGCCCCTGTCCCTGAATGTCTAGGAAGTCATTTAAGCAGTGTGTTCAGCCAGGATTGCCACAAGGAATGAGCCTTGAAATGCTGACCAGCAGGAGCTAGGAGGTGCCCTCAGTGAAATAATCCATGGGCAGGTTTGTAGTGTAGAGTACAAAAGTCTCTGGAGAAGCAGGGGCAACCTGCGTAAAGCGTGACTCCCGGGAGCTGTAGAGCAGGACAAAAATAGGTTGGGGTTTGTGCTGTTGCAATTGTCTGCCGTTTCTGGAGAGGATTCAGTCTTTGTTTGAAAAGATGGGCAGTCACAAAGTGCATGTAACCACCTTTCAGCAATCAGCAGGGATTGCCTCCACTGAGGGTTGCTCTGTGAGCCCCAGGTGGAGGCACTACTCCCAACACCAGCAAATTGGGCAAGTCTTGGTGCAGCCAGGCCAACAGCAGCAGCTGAGGATCTTACCCAACGCAGGTGTTGCTTAGACCTCTTTGGCAGGTGTACCACAAATTAGCCTTGTACCTTCCCTGAGTGCCACTCTGATCTGCTGCTCTGTTTTCTGTTCCCTGACCAAGCTGCTGCTCTGCAGTCTGTCCCCTCTCCAGTGTGTTACATGCCCCACACAGGCTGCCATGCTGCTTGTGGTGCCCATGCACCAGGCTGGCCACCCCTGATTTAGATGCGTATCTGCTTTGCACATGTCCTGTTGGGCAACAGTTCCACACTGAGACTTGTCTCTTGGGTTGTGAAATGGAGTGCCCGTTTTGTCACGTGGCTGTTTCTCCGTTATTTGACAGCCATGTAACTTTTTTTCCTTTGAAGCAATCTCTGGTCCCTGTAGGACGGGCCCTTGGATTCTGTGACAACTTTGTGTAATTTAACAATGGGATGTGTGTAGTAATCACTCTTCTACTTAACTCAGTGTTGAAGCTCCTCCCCCCCCCCTTGTTAAAATAAACTGATTAAAGACATTACATCATAAAATCATAGAATAGTAGGACTGGAAGGGACCTGTAAGATCTTACAAGTCTGATCCCCTGCTATGGGCAGGAGGTAACTGGGCTCAAAGGAGCTCAGCAAGGTGCTTGTTCAGCCTCCTCTTGAACACCTCCAGGGATGGCGACTGCACCACCTCTGCTGGGAGTGCATTCCAGATTCTAGATACCCTTACAGAAGATAAGTTTTTCCTTTTATATCTAGCCTAAATTTTTCCTCAACTAGCTTGTGCCCATTGGTCCTTCTCCTCCCAAGGGTTGCCTTTCTGAAGAGTTGCTCCCCTACATGTTGGTGTTCGTCCCTGACATACTTGTAAGCAGCTATCAAGTCATCTCTTAGTCTTCTCTTACTCAGACTGAACAAACCCAGTTCCTGGAGTCTCTCCTCATGGGGCCCAGCTGTCAGGCCCCTAATCATACGGGTGGCCCTTCTCTGTACCATTTCAAGCTTATCCACATCCTTCTTGAAATGCGGTGCCAGCACTCATCACAGCAGGCTTGTGTATTGCCCGTGCACAGATGCATTGAAGCAGTTGGGGAAGAGCTGAAGGTTGTGGTATCAGGGTAGGAGTTAGGGCTTGTCTGTCCTGACTAAGGCTCAAGGTCAGTCCTAGAGTGCTTTCTTCCTCTTAGTTACGCTCTGACTGTTCCCACGCTGAGGTGACCATTCAAAGCACCTCCTGTATTATCTTGTCTCACCTTGTCCTCTTGGGTCTTGAAGGTGCTGCAATATATGAAAGCCATCCAGTCAGAGCAGGATCGCGAGAGGCAGCGGAGGCTACAAGCGGAGCGAGGTAGGTTCCACTATCCCCTCCACCTCAGTACTGCTCTAGGCTGTGTTTGTTCTACGATGATCCCAGCTTCCAAGGATGTCTAACAAGGATTTCCAAATAGCGTGGCACTAAACACCAATAATGTCTGAACTGGAGGTGGTGAAAAGGTTGTGATTCACTGGAGCAGAGTGGGTCTCTCAAGGACTACTTGGGAGGAAGATTTCCCACTACTGCTGCTCCTGGTGAACTGAGTCTAAATGCTGTCTTGCAGGGACACAAGGCAAAGTTAGGCTTCTTTGCATGTTAAATACGTAAAGATTTGTTATCTCTAAACAGTTAGTAACAAATTGCTCTGATTTACACACTACATGTGACAATATTGTGTGTGGGGCTGCAGTGGGAATGGGGAATTTTCAAGGCTCAGGATTTAAAGGATCCTCTGGCAAGAGTGGTGGTTTTAAAATTGATCATCTTAAAAAGGAACACTGTCAACATAGATCTTACTGTTTCCATTTGCCCGTATGTAATGGGATAATGCCTCACACTGGTATTGTGAGACTTAAAATATTTAAGAAATCCTGCAAGGCGAGAGCTGCTATAGAGCACACAAATGACAGTGGAGGGAAGACTAGCTTGGAGGGTGATGGGAGACATTTAACGCTTCTAGAAAATAAATGTGACTTTGGGTCATTCTTCTATTACTTTACCTTCCTGGTGAGAGAAGGTAAGGGTGGGGATGGACTGAGTGCTCACACTTCAGAGGGGAAAACATTTGCGTTTGATCCCCAGAACTGGAGAAGAAGCGTGAAGCAGAGCAGCGAAAAAGGGAGGCTCAGGAGAGGGAATTGCGGAGGCGAGAGAAGGCAGAAGAGAAGGAACGCAGAAGACGAGAGTATGATGCACTAAGAGCTGTAAAGCAGGAGCTGGAAACACAAAGGAAGAAAGAATCCACCGAGAGCCCCAGTAAGTTAACAAGGCATTTACTGTGAGGAGCACTGCAAATAGAAGGCACTTTCCTCCACACTTTGAGTGAAGGAGAAATAGATGGGTGGGAACAAGGAGGAGTATTAGCATGGCTGTTTCTATCTGCATGTCTGCTCTGCTCTGCTGTTGACAATGCTGTATCTGTTTTTACACAGTCAATGAAGTAGTCACTTGTTAAGCATGGTGGGAAAAACAGGGCCCAGTGGCAGAGCTGAGAATCTTAGAAGACGTGCACCACGGGGGGAGGGAGCAGAACTTTTAGCATCTCTGCAGTGGATGACACTGATCTTAAATCATGAAGTTATACAATTACTCTTGAAAATTATCTCCTCTTCCTCATGATTTCTGGAGGGAGACCTCTTCACATGAGTAATACATATTATCTTCAAGGCTGTCTGATCTCCTTGAATGTTACATGCGACAGCCTTGGGGCCTTCACATACAGGGTCGTCAAAGTCCTTGTGCACTTTTAAACTTTAATAACTTAGGTTGTAGGTATGATAGAAACAATCTGTAAATGGCATTTAAAAGCAAATTTATTAAAGTTTTAGGACAACTAGAGTACACAATGCTAGACCTCAACATAACCATTTTCTTCTCACAGCTGATATGGACTTCAATTCTGTTAGCCTTAGGACACAGTTTACCCTCTTGTCTCAGTTTACCCTCTCGTCTACAGTAGCCATTTTTCATTTGTCAAAAGATCTGAAATAAGAATAAATTCGTTATTACTTATGAAGTCTAGCATTGTGTAGACCAGCCATTTACAGTTTCTATCATACCTACAACCTAAGCTATTAAAGTTTAAAAGTGCACAAGGACTTTATGAAGACCATGTATATTCATGGAATAGGTAAAGCTGGGGCAGTTTAGATATGGGGTACAGCACATCTCCACATGGCAGGCTCATACCTGCAGGCAGAAGCTTTTGTAAACAGTTCTTTCTCCGTGATTCCTCCTTTCCCCATTTCATATCATTGCAGAGCTCTCATCTGCTTCCCGTCCATCGAAGCTGCCCCAGCGCAGGCGTTCGTGGTCCCAGGCGCTGCTGAGGCTGTTGCTCATGCTGTTGCTCTGTGCCCTCTGCACGTTGGCTGTGTGCAGGATGACTGAGCTGCAGCGCCAGCCGCTGTGTGTCAGCGTGAACACTCTGTTTGAGGATGTGGTCACTGCCGTACAGAGCCACAAAACCTTGCAGAACATGCTCCATCGGAACTCGCAGCAGTGAATGTGCTACCCGGACACTTGCATTCCTAGCATCTCTGCCGCCATCCGCACAGCCAGGATTCCTATGGAATCGTGTCCCGATGAAAACTGCTTTCAGTCAGGCAGCGCTGGATTTGCTGGTCCACTCCAAACAGCAGAGCCTCTGCTCAGGTCATCTTTGCTGTGCATGTCTCAGCTGGTCTGCAATTCCCATTGTTTGCCCACATTAACTCAAACTTGTTAACATTTCCTTCTTCCCTAGATTGTAAAATGCCAGTCTACAGCAGAGTGAGGGAAGGCCTTAAGCCTTCCTCAGGCTAACTTTGGCTCTCCAGTGGAGGTTCTTGTCTTGCCACTATGTTTATTGATGAAACCCTCTGCTAAAGTCTGTGCTGGTATGGCTGAATTGGGATAAGAGTGTAGGTGGACCCACTCCAGGACCAGAAGTCTGTAAGAGGGCTGTGTATCAGTACATCAGCGTGAAAGAGGTGATGTGTTATTGGAACAAGTCGACAGTTTTCAATATAACAGTTTTCGCAGCACTCTGTCTGATTGATGTGTGTGTTGCTTACACACTAGGGTTTTACTGTGCTTCCTTTGTACAAATATTTTATCACTACAGTATAGTGGAGGCCCTCACTTAGATTGGTGCCAACACATTGGGGAGATGAGGCATGCGGAATGGTTTTCTTCAAACAGCAGTAGCACCCTTGAAAAGTAGGGGTGCACCAATAGAGATTTTGGGGGCTGATACTGATATTTAAGGAGGCAGCTATAAGTCTGTTGTGGTGGGGAGGGAGAGCGTGGGGCAGGCACTTCCCAGCTGGGGCCGGGTGGAGTGCAGGACAGAGCCATGGCTCATCCTGGGCCCCTGCTGCGCACACACCCCAGGAGGGCATGGAAAAGGATGGGATGCGCTGCAGCTACAGGCTGAGGCTATGCTCAGGGCAGGTGGCGGCAGTGCTGGGAGGGGGTTGCAGCCACCCCAAATTTTGCCATAGCCCCATCTGCTTTTGCCCCCTCCCAGCATCACTGCCTGCCCCAAGTGCAGTCTTTACATGCCAGGAGCACAGCCCTAAGTGTGGCCCCCATGAGCAGCTTGCACCCCCCACCACCCTCCTGGGGTACGTGCAGCAGTAGGAGTCACTTCCTGCCCCAGCCCCACTTCCTCTCTCACTGCACACCTTCCCTGCCCCCTCCCCTTCTACCAGAACAGACATACCAGCTGTATGCAGCTCTCCAAGCTGCTGGGCTGTGCTCCTCGCTACCTATTTGCTGCGTTGCAGCTGCACAGGACATTTATTGGCCAAATGATCAGCCACATCAGGCCAATTTCTGATACAGTCAATTTTCTTTAGAGTGGTACCGATCCAATATTGGACTGATACATCGCTGCACCTCTATTGAAGAGTTCTTGAAAGAATCCAGCACCTAATACTGAGCCAATTCACTCACCACTTTAGTAGAACGAACATTGTAGTTCTAACAAAATTAGCACTGATAAAATGCAAGGCCTGCTGCTGTCAGTGAATGGCAGTGCAAAAAAAGCCCATTTCAGGGCAGTATACATGGGCTTGGCATCCATGTATTGATAAAAACTACTCTTAGGAATAGGTTATGAATCATACATTGCATGAGGCTGAGTTTATACCCAGATCCTCACTTCAGTACTTGCTTTGCTAATACTGAAAGACTTTCTACACTTGCAAATGCATTTAAGTATCAATGGCTTCAAGGAACAGTAAGTACCCACACAAGGCAGATGCTCTCTGCTTTAATTTTAAAAAGATCTCTTGCTGCAGACTTTATTACAGAGTTCAAATTAGTCCAGTCCATAATTAGACTAACCCCCCCCGATCAAGTTTTTCTACACTGATTTAGGGATATGACAAGGAACAAACTGCTTCAAAGGGTGACCATGAAAATATCCCGTCTTACATAGAAAAGATCTGACTGTGTGCTAATAAACCCCTAAAGCAGATCTAGTGCTTCCTGTAGAAGCATAGACTCATTTCAGGATAAAACGTGCAGCTAATCTCAACAACAGTCAACACACTGATGCAGGCAGCACGGCATCCCTGAGTGATAAAGATGATGAGGTGCCTTCTGTAGCCTCCACCTCCATGGCCATTTCAGGCATCTAGGAGGGTCTTGAGGCAGTCCTTGCAGACTGGAGGAACAGATCTTAAAAAGTCTTCAAAGTCCATAACCCCTGTTCTTATCCAAACACATTTTCCCCAGAAGAGCAGTGAATGTTTAACCAGGAAAATAATAAAATCCACAGTCCTAGGTTAGTTGGTAACATCCAGGTAGAGGTCAGGATTGTGGGAGGTCATCTGGAGGAAGATCCGTCTGGAGAGTTCTGGTCCGATCCGCCGGGAGGTGGCTGTTACTCCATCACCCCGGCGCACAGGCGTATCAGCCAGCATGTTCTGCTGCTCCTGCTCAGAAAAGCACCTGCGATAGGCCTGGAACAGCGCAAAAGAAACAGGGATTTGATTTGGCATGCTCTTTGGTCTAGCAAGGACAACAGAGAGACAGTCAGTCACAAGTTTTGCATTTATTCTCCCTTCACACCTCATTTAGCAGCTAAGGTATACCCCAAGAATCCAGAGTGCTCCAATAAATACTGATAAGGCAAGTCCTTAAAACAGTTCCAAGCACAAAAGTTACAACAGAAAGGTAACAACCTTATACCAGCCATCATAGTCCACTTGGCCAATGCACGCTTTCCCCTCTCTGCAAAGGGAAACACTTAAGCAACCTAGAATGTGAAGGTTAGTAAAACAGGCTCTTCTTGTCAGCCTCATTCTGCTCTGTACACCGGTCAGTGTCTTTCTGCTCGGCCAACGGATGTAGGTAAATCATTCCTTCTGATGCCTTAATGGAATGAAATTAGCTGGCACTTATATTTAAAGCCGTAGGATGAGTCCACATGAGCATGGACACTGATTTCCCTGGGGACAAGAAGCGGTGGAACACCTTGTGCCGCTACTACTTGTCCTCGGGGAAAATGCCTGTGCCACATGCCCTCTCCTGGCTGGTTATCCTGGGTTGGGTAGGGGAGGCTGAGGCCAGCAACTGTGCTGGCTCCATCAGCCTTACCTGGAGTCTTCAGGGAGCTGCAGCCACACCACTCCTGCACCTGGGAGCCCGGCAGGCAGCTGGAGCATGGCTCTGGCAGGCCAAGCATGTGCACTGACCTGCTTTGAGGCACAGGTTTCTTTGACCCTGGGATCTCCAGGGTGTAGGATCTTTGACCCTAACCCCCTCCCCCCAACATCTGCATGTATGGTGCCACAGATGGGTCTGTGGCACTACATACCACATGTCCACGCCTATCTGGACATGGCCCTAGGATCCCAAACTGCATCAACCACTCCATCCATGAGGAGTTTCTACAAACTTGTGACAAAGCTAAATGAAAAGCACAGCATAGAAGGATATACTACTGGAGCAGAGAGGAGGACTCAGTACAGACTGCTATAAGTTACTCTCTGTTTAACTTTTTGGAATGGAGTGGGGAAAACAATTTACTGAACACATCTGGCTATCCCCGCCTTTATCAGATCCCTCCATTATCCCAGAAGATAGCCTCCTTCTTATTGCTAGCACCTCTTCACTTGCAACCCAAGTTCCTGGCTCTCTTACTCATTCACTGTAGAGGTGGAAAGAACTTGTAAGCTGTGACTGAGTTTCCCCTTCTGGCAGCAATATCCACCTTTGCAGGCACTTGAAAATCAACTATCGAAAGGCATATGCACATTGTGACTTCCACCTTTCATGGGTTATAATCAGCTACAGTTATGCCCTACATTGCTGAGGAGAGACATGGGGTCAAATGGCGAGTCCCATGAGATTAGTGCGTCAGACTTCAACTCTGCAAGATTACTGACTGCAAATAAAATCCCCGCAGGACATGAATGCACACTGGCTGCATGCACGCTTTTCTTAGCACCTGCAAAGCACACTTACCTGCTCCAGCAGCCAAGGAGAAGGGTAGGCTGACACAACGGCACTGGCCATATCCGGACTAACCCGGTGGAATTGCTGAATCTGCCTCTGCCAAACCTGCAGGAGCCCCTTCCCTGAGCGGTCTACCTTCACGCCTCGGCACCACTCATTCTCCAGGTAGAAGGAGAAACCCGCGTTCTCTCGCTCCCGCCTGATTAGGACAAAGAAAGAGGACAATGAGATCAATGAGACTGGCATAGAACCAGTTGCATAGATATATATGGAGCAGGAAACTACTGGGAGAAACAGTGGCTACAGGATAGGAAACCCTCACACCCAGCACAGAACATGAGAGACCAGCAGCATCAAGGCAGCTGATCAAAACCCGACCTCTCCCCTCTACATGTATGAGCACGATCCTTTTACTGTGGTGCAAAATAACCACACAGCTTACCACATGGATGGGGGTGCTGGCTGTAACAAGAGGCACAGAGGCAGCTCTCCTGACTTCATATAGCTCAGGGCTTTATTGAAAGTTATTCCCCAGGTGCTCTACAGGGGCAGCTTTAAGTCCCTTTTGTGTTACTGGAGCAGCACAAACCAGCCCAATTCACTTGGTCACCTTATTTTTAAAATCCACATCCTAGTATTTTAAGCAACCTTGGAACAAGCCAAGGCATCTGCAAGCTGGGGAAAAGAAATCCATTTCAGGCTTTCAAAGAACTGTGGAAAAGCATTTTAAAGAAAGCTTGTCCATTCCCATGTTGCAGGGGTTTAGGTTGTAGCCGTGTTGGTCTAAGGATATAGGCAGACATAGACCACCTTCCCAGCAACACACTCCTAGCCACCATGGACATTACCAGCCTATACACCAACATCCCACACCAGGATGGCATCCATGCCTGCCTTACATATCTACAGGAACAAGATTACAACCCAGAATACAGACCCAAAGATATCACTGAGTTTATACACTTCATCCTCACACACAACAATTTCACTTTTAATAATCAACACTTCCTCCAGATGATGGGAACAGCTATGGGCACTAAAATGGCCCCACAGTATGCCAACCTTTTTACCTTTTTTTTTTTTTTACACACCAAAAAAGCAGTGATATACAGCCAAGCCCTCAGATACCACTGCATCTGTACTGAAGAGAACACCCGGGATTGCCACCTCACCAATCTTAAAAAGGCTTTCACCCAGCAAGGACACTCCTCCAGAGAGGTAGATCGCACGTTTGAAAGAGCCACCTGGATACCACGTGAAGAACTGCTGCAGTACAGAAGAAAAACACCCACAAATCTCACACCGCTGGTTATGACGTATCACCCCTCCCTTGAACCTGTACGGAAAATCCTCAAAAAATTGCAACCCATTTTAGAAAAAGACCCTATTCTTAAAAAGATCTTCCCAGAGCCACCCATCCTAGCCTTCAGACAAGCACCGAACCTCGCCAACCTCATCACCAGAAGCAAACTTCCTCAAGCCCAGAACACACCAAAAGGATCCAGACCGTGCCATGACAAGAAATGCAAAACCTGCCGACACATCTCCACTATTACTACACCCCACAACAGAGCCATCAGCATCCCAGGATCTTACAGCTGCACCTCTATACATGTAATATATCTCATCCAATGCACCAAATGCCCTGATGGAAGATATGTAGGAGAGACCAGACAACAACTGCGCACCAGAATGAATGCACACCGGAAATCCATCAAAGACAGAAACACCCAATTACCGGTGGGGGCACATTTCTCACAGGAGGGCCACTCTCTCTCCAATCTCTCAGTCCTGATCCTCAGGGGAAATTTACACAACACATCCCAGAGACGAGCCTATGAGCTCCATTTCATCAACCTGCTGGATACTAGAGATCAGGGACTAAACATAGACATTGGATTTTTGATACATTACAATCTGCCTGGCAACTGACTCCCCAGCCCAGCCCAGCCCAGCCCCTGGCTTGGTTACTTTTCATTCCATCCAGGAAGAGCACACACCAACTGCTGCAGCTTCCTGAGCCTGACGAAGGGTTTTTGAACCCGAAAGCTTGCTTAATAACTATTCTCCAACCATATGGGTTGGTCTAATAAAAGATATCAAATTCACCCAAGGAACCTTGTCTGCCTATGTCCATTCCCATGGATTTTATTGACAGACAAAACGCTATGGCTGTTCTGGTACATGGGTTAGGACTGTTCATTCTCACACTCAAGGAATAACCTCTACACAGTTGAAGCTTAAACAAACACAGAACACGTCTTCCACGGTAAGTAATCAAATGGGGGGTTGACCTTGGGGAAGTCTCTTTTGATCACAAATATTTTGAGGGTAAAGCAAAAGCCAGTCTGTCAGGGACTGAATCAGGCCACCAGAGACCGTCCTTATTTACCATCTGAGGTCTATTCCCAAATGTGGGTTGAAAATAAGATCTGTGCTCGATGCCAGAATCCAACCCTAAGATAAATGACTTTGAGATTTCAGTCCCAAACATTACACCTATTTCAAGGCAAGCGACACCTCCACGATCTGGTTTTAAAGCTCATCAATGGCTGCTCAGCATCACCTAGTCCTTCAGCATATACTATATCACATAGCATGGAAGCAAAGCCACAGGCCTGCTCTTTCCCCAAAATGACAACAGTGAGGCTTCTCCCGAGGGAATCTCAAAGGGCAAAATAAGGAACAGAATAAATCCATCTGCTCACTCACTTGAAGGGCGCTTCAGCAACAGACTTGGTGAACATAGTGGCAAAGTCGCTAAGGTCCTTCCAGTTCTCAAGGCATCTAACCTGGATGCCTGTGTGAAGCTGCAGATCTACCAAGGCCTGCAAACATAGGATGATCAGGAGTGAGTGGGGAAAACACCCTTTTCATGTGTAGGATGCTGCCCCAATCCCTCACCACAGCCAGCTGGAGGACAAGAGTCCTCCCCTCCATGGGCTCAGCTAGCTTATTCCACTAAAAAAATATAGCTTAGGCTCTACTAACAAACAGGCACTGCAGACTAATATAATTCTTTGTCAATTGTCATAGATTAGCTCTTCCTCCCTGTTCTGCACTACCTATCCACCGCATTGTTGCCATACTGACATACTCCAGTTCAGCTTGTCTGCTGGGCTATGAAGGAAGATGGGCGTTAGGCTGAAGAGGCCATTACAGACATGGCATCTGGAACCAGCAGAGACATTCTGGTCTCCAGGGAGGGGAGCCAGGTGTTCAGCTTTTGCTTGGTATGCAGAGCTTAGCCTGAACAGCTGCACTTGCAAACAGGGGTTTAAATGCTCCTTGCCCCAGAGATGGTTTTCTCAGGCAAAACCTGAAATTGAGAGAGCTTGCAAAGGCCAAGGTTGCTGCATCCCTGCTCCGAGGTTACCCACTTCTTCCACGTCCAGCCTGGACACCTCTGGCCCAGAAGCCTCCTTCTCCTTCTGCCTTTTCCGTTTCCTCTGTCCCTCCTTTTGGCTTCCATTTGGCACTGCCTGTCGTGGCCTCTTCTGTGACTGACTTTTGTGAGACCTGAGAAAAAGACCCAGAGGTCACCTCTGGCTCTAGTCCCGGCTGACTGGGGGTAGTCTGCAGCTACCCCAACACCAGCCTCCCCTGACAGAAGAGGATAACTCTGGTTACAGATGCTCCCAACACCCAGCCTTTACCAGTATGAAATGCAACAAGCAACAGAGCAGAAGACCGGTGTCATTCTGCATGTATGGCAACACTTCTGCTAAGCTTACCAGAAACCTCTGCAGTAAGAATTCTAACCTTAGGTATTTCTCTAGTTCTACTACAGCCAGTGCCAGAGTCTTCCCAGGAATCTTCTCCATGACACGAGCCACAAAGCTCCGTAAAGTCTCCTTCTGTCCGTCTGTGCTAGACTGGACTTCCTGCAAAGGCACCTGCAAAATGCCAGTTAAACCCTTTAAATCACACAGGCTAGGTCACAGCAGGAAAAGGTAATCGCTGGTTCCTGTACTACTGGAAAAATCAAATCCCTCAGACGGAAGAAAAACAGCTGCATTCTGAGGTTGCCTTCCAGTCCCACAGCAGAGGTGGTTCTATTCATGTCAGTGTGAAAGGTCAGGCAACATTTAACATTCACACAGGCTAAACAAAGATCACATTAAAGTACGCAGCACCTCACCTGTCTGTAGCTGTAGATCATGGACACAAACTCCTCTGTATGAAGCAAAAGAAGGACGTTGGGTTCTTCTGTCCAGCTCTCTTCTTCAACCTGTCCAGAGATGAAGACAGCTAACATTGAATCATTAGTGCAAAACAGTCCTGTTCTGATCCTAGCTGCAATGATGCTCAGGTTTACAGCCACTACTCATGGCCGCAACATTTAGGAGGCAAGAGGGTGGAGCTGCTCAGGATGGTGATAATTATTGCCCAGGCAGCATCCAGTTATTAGCAATCAGAGAGAAAATATCCATGAGACTGAGACCACTGAGGCTGTAGGGAGCAGAGAAATGGGCCAACTAAGAGGAGAGCACTAAGAGGGGTTGGTAGAAAGTAAGGGTCTGAGAACACAGATAATCCATCACAGGTTTATCTGACATTCATATACGGCATCAAACTACTTTACAGAGAACCAATGCTAGAGACATCAAGGGGAAATGCCAAGGCAGCCTGAAAAGTGGGGAGCAAGCCGCAGAGCAGAGGTATCAGCTAACACCTCTGGGGAACGAGGAGAAGAAATTGAAGTGTGCGTTTGGGGAAGTATGGGGTCACCAGCTCACAAGTACAGCGGGGAGTATGTTGGAGAGGAGCGTGGATATCAGCAAGGGACCCTGAAACAAATTTCAAGAGGGACAGGATGTCAGCAAAGGTCACAGAGAAGGCAGGCAAAACAGTCCCAGGTCCTGGAAGAACAGCATGCCAAATGGGCATGTTAAGACTCGCACTAGAGAAGGATTTGAGCTAGTGCAGAAAGGGAGGCAAGGCAGCAACAAGGATTTCAGAAGCAGCAAGGCCAAAAGGAGGAGACCATTTTAGGGACCATTCCAAGAGAGATTAAAAAAAAAGGAACAGGGTTCACTGAGATCAAGGAGACACGTCAACATTTCTACCCTTGCAACCAGGGTTAAAAATTTTTGAGTTTCAGGGATTTTGGAGATGTACAATGAGATTTTAACACAGGAGAATGACTAATTCAGAAGCACCCCACAGTACGGAGTTATGGGTTAACCACAAGCTAATGGAACCACAGCACTTTGCATTTCCGAGTAGACAACTGGTGGGTGACTACAGCTACGGGACAAGAAACCCTCACACCCAGCACAGAATAAGAGAAACCAGAAGCATCAAGGCAGCTGCTCAAAACTTAACCTTACTAATATAGATAGGGAAAACAGGTCATTTTGCTGTGGTGCAAAATAACCGCACAGCTTACCACATGGAAGGGGGGGGGAGGGGGACTAGCTGTAACAAGAGGCACAGAGGCAGCAATCCTGACTTTGTATTCTTCCCCTGGCGGGGTGCATTACACAACGATATTCCCCAGCCACTCACCAGGACCAGCTCTAGGTCCCTTTCGTGTTACTGGAGCAGTACAAAGAACTAGTGCGGGCACAAGCCAATCCAAATCACTTGGTCTTCTTATTTTTGATATCCACTTCCTGGTATTTTAAGCAACCTTGGAACAAGCCAAGGCATCTGCAAACTGGGGAAAAGAAATCCATTTCAGGCTTTTAAAGAAAACTTGTCCATTCCCATGGATTTATTGACAGACAAAATGCTACAGCTGCTCTGGTATGTGGGCTAGGGCTGTTCATTCTCACACTGAGGGATGAACTCTACGCAGCTGAAGCTTAAACAACACAGAACACATCTTCCACGGTAAGTAATCAAATGGGGGGTTGAACTTGGGGAATATTTTTTGATCACAAATATTTGAGGGTAAGGCAAAAGCCTGTCTGTCAGGGACTGAATCAGACCACCAGAGACAGTCCTTTATTTACCATCCGAGGTCTACTCCCAAAGGTGGGTTGAAAATAAGATCTGTGCTTGATGCCAGAATCCAGCCCCAAGAGAAGTGAGACTTTGAGGTTTTGGGCCCAAACACAACACCTATTTCAAGGCAAGAGGGACCTCCATGGTTTGGTTTTAAGGTTCATCAACGGCTGCTCAGCATCACTTAGTCCTTTACCACATAGTATATCATATAGCATGAAAGCAAAGCCACAGGCCTGCTCTTTCCCCAAAATGACAACAGCGAGCCGTCCCCTGAGGGAATCCCAAAGTCAAAACAAGGAGCAGAATAAGCCCATCTCCTCGCTCACTCAAAGGCGCTTCAGCGACAGACTGGACGAATGCACAGAGCCGCTGCGGTCCTTCCAGCTCTCGAGGCATTGAGCCCGGACGCGTGCGAGATGCTGTGAAGCTCACGGGGAGGCGAGAGCTTCCCCTCGGCTCGCGCATCAGGAGTATTTCTAAGTCCACATCCGAATCCGCGCAGATCTCACTCGCCCTCGGCTTTGTGGCTTTCCGTCTTCTCAGGCAACTGCCCGACTACGGGGCCAGACGCGCCGGTTTCTCAGCTCCCCGTGGCGGCGGGTGGGAGCCGGAGGCGGCAGGAGACAAGGCTCCCAGCCCGCTCACTCAGCAGCGCCACCCTCGCCAAGCACACGGTGCTGCAGGACATCCGAATCCGCGCAGATCTCACTCGCCCTCGGCTTTGTGGCTTTCCGTCTTCTCAGGCAACTGCCCGACTACGGGGCCAGACGCGCCGGTTTCTCAGCTCCCCGTGGCGGCGGGTGGGAGCCGGAGGCGGCAGGAGACAAGGCTCCCAGCCCGCTCACTCAGCAGCGCCACCCTCGCCAAGCACACGGTGCTGCAGGGCAGACCCCCACCCTGCCCGCCCGCGACTCTGCGCCCCGCAGGCTGAGGCCACGAGCAGGGGCCGTGGGGGTGCCGTACCTGAGCGGGCCCCGCGGCCCTCCTCCTCCAGACCATGCTGCCCGCCACGGGCTGCGGCTCGATGACGCAGGCGCAGG